ATAGAGATGAGACTTAAAATTTATTATGCACAGTTGCACAGATAGATGCTTGTTTGATGCATCTTTTACGTACGTTCGCTCACGATTGACAGTGTGCGAGCATGAGTATTTTTATTTGCGAGAAACTTTATTCCGTAATTTTTTCATCCTCTTTGGTGAATTTTGTTCAAGCCTTGGGTAGGTCTTTTTTTGCATGACCTTTTGAGAATAGAACGCAAAATTTAGAGAACTAAAATATGAGCGAAAGTTTCGAAACAGCAGTGAATTTTTACAAGAGATCTTTAGCACTAGATCTTTTTACTGAATTTAGTTTGTCTTTTCCGATTGGTATGTGATCTGATTTTAAATTTGAATGCGTGCGTTGTAAGGTACACTGAGAAAAAACTATGGCTTATAAACCTATTAGAGGTAAATATGGAACACCACTAATAGTAGTACCTCTACATATAATAATAGCACATATACCTTAGTTATGGTCTCTGTACCTTAATTAGGTACAGAGACCTTAGTATGGTTCACAGACCGAGAATCATTAGTTTATTTACGACTATTATAGGTGTTCCATATTTACCTCTAATAGGTTTATAAACCATAGCTTTTTCTCAGTGTACATCGTATTTGATAGCTAAGTTTTCCTTATTGTCTGATTTAATGTCCCCCTTTCGTTATTTTTTAAGCATGCCAGTAGGGCTCGCTTTTTTTTATTTTGAATAAATAGTTTACATTTTTTTCGATTTAAAGCTTTTTCGGTCACTTTTTCGGGAGATCGAATTTCTTCGTATTAGTTTTGTTGGTGATTATAATACTTACTAGGGGCTTATGGGGCTGCTTCGCAGCCCCTTATTTTTCCTGTACACTTTTCACTTTCACATGTTTTTTTTTTTATTTATTTATTTTCATTTAATTTTCTGTTTTGTCTTTGAATCGGGTCTAATTATTTTTTTGAGAGAATAAATATAACAAACGTTTTCAAAAATTGTAATTTTATTTAGTAAACTTTAAACTAAAATTTTGTTTTAATCTTCATACAAAATTATTTTTTAGGTTTTACATTTGTTTTCAAACTAATTTTAAAGAAGATCTTTTTTTATTTTTTAAATACTTTGCTTTTTTTTCGATTAAATTGTTGATTCTTCTTTTGCCATTTCTGTCCTGCTTTTCTTCCTATATTTCCTACAACTTTGCTCTTCTTCTTTCCTCCTTTTGTCTTTTCTTTTTTTGCTTCTTCTTTTTCTTCTTCAGTAGCTGTTCCTTCTGGTTCTTCTTCTTTTTCTGCTCCTGTTTTAACTTCATCTAATTTTTCCGCTTTTTCTTCTTCGTTTTTTCCATGTTCAGTCTGCTTTCTGGTTTCCGTATTTGCTGGTATGTTATCTTTTTCTTGTTTCGTTATCTTACTATTCCACATATAAGTCAGTTGTTTATTACCCATGTATGTTCCTAGCTTAACTTGTTTGATAAAAATGGTTTTTCCCAAGTCTTCGTGTTCAATTTCATTGGTAGCTTCGTTCCACAGGATTATGTCAATCTGGAAAATGTTAAAATATGATTTAATAATGTTTCTTTTTTTTGTCATGTAACATTTTTATCAGTATTCCAAGCTTTCATATCCAATCGTTTAAACTTATTTAATTTCATTTAATTTTTTCTTTTAATAGAAAATCCTCTCTCTGCTGCTTTTGAAATGTAATTTTTCAATTTTTTTGTTGTTTGTTAATTGTCAGTGGTGTTTTTTTGGTGTTTAGACTCTCCGCCCCGTTTCCCATTCCACAATTGCGCTACTTAATAATTTTTCTTTTTTCTTACCCCGTTGCCCTTTGAGTCTTTAATTTTTGCTGTTCTTTTTTTCATGGTTCTAGTTTTTGTTTGTAAGTTTTGTTCTTCTTCTATCTCACCAATAATACCTGTAACATCTATTTGCATCTATTTCCGGAATGCAGCTGCATTCCGGATGCGTTAAGGGGTGGAAAGGAGGGAGGGACGGACTGAGAAACTGAAAAAAGTACGTTACGTAACGGTAAATATTAAATAAACTTACCTATATATGGATCCTTGAACTTTAAAGCAATAAGGTCCATCACCCGGAATATCAATTCGATTTGCAGAGAAAGAGGCAAAAGCAACAGCACTATTATAATTTCTGATATGCTTTATGAAATTTGGAGAATATAAAAATAATGATTTCAAATCGGTATTTGTCCGAATATTCGGTAAAGAAATTAAGCCATTTTGGCAGCAGTTATTAAAATGACCATTGGACATTTCACCCTGAAAATGGCGAGCATCACAATGATGACAAATTATATTCATTGAACCGACTGAAAATTTGGTAACAAAATTTTCATCAAAGTTCTGATCATCAATTTTATACTTCCGAAATGAAGAAACGAAACTTTGATTTTCTATACTAATAACAGAGTTAAGTTCTTGCTTCACTAAACGAACATGCGAAGAATTCTGGAAAACGCGACCACGTTTTGGAGGACGACCGCCTCGGTCATTGAAAATTTCACTCATAACAACTGTTAAATTTAAAATTAAAATTAGTAAAAATTATTATTATTTTAACAAAATCATAACTGAAAAGTTCAATTTTTAAATTAAAAAAAATAAGTCAGAAGAAAAAGGATGAAATGAAAATGGAAATTAATAATAAACATATTTATACACATTGAAAAGAAACAGCGTGAAAAGTTCTGATCGGAAATGAGAAAAAAAACTTGGAGGTTATTGCCTTAATGAGGAAAAATTGGCAATAGGAAAAAGATGGAACCAATCATGAAAAACCGTAAAAAAAAAAAAAAACGCGGGAAAAGAAAAATGTAAGTTGATGGCAGTTGAGTGGTTGGTTGAGTGTTGGAAGTAACCTCACTTAATGATGATTGTTGAATGAAAACAGCTGATAAAAAGACAGCAAACAGTAAAGTAAGATGCGTAGCAACAAAACTTTTCCGAAAAACAAAAAACAAAAAACCCCCACTTCCCCTCATCCAATTTATGAGTTTTTAGGGATTTAAAAATCGGGGACGAACCCCAGAAAATAATTTATAGTTTTCCCGAAGCATTGAGAACAACACCTTTCAAATGAACCAACGCCCCTCGCAATTAGTACAGTGGTTGATTCACAATTTCATTCTATTTTTCAAATTAGATATTAAGATACTCCTGCGCACATGTAATATGTATGTGAAGTACGGTAAATAACACGCTAGTTACTATTTATATTTTTTCGGGTGTGAAATACATAATTCATTCAAAAAACAAGGGATCAGAGATATAATCTGAAAAAAGAAAAAAAGTAAATATTTCTCCGCGCAACTATTTCCTAGAAAGCAGTTGTAAGTAAATTTATTTGATAAAAATTTATTCACATTTAAAATATTTAAAAAAAAAAACCAAAATTTAACTAGCCTCTTTTCCTGCTCCTTGGACTGCGCCGAGCCTCGTTTTAAAAAAAAATTAAATAAATAAATAAACAAATATATACAAAAAAACTGATAAGGAAACGAGGAATTGCGTGGTAAATGAATAGCACACACAATTATATTCCGATCCGCTTAACTTCCTCCTCATTGAGTGAGGAAAGTTGCATTATTTCGAAGCTGTGTTTAGCGGTAAATCTAAAGAGTCTCCAATTTTTCCTTCTGAAGGCCCTCTCATTGTCTGTAAAAACCAGCTTCTTCCTTCCAATTCAAAGTTTCTTTTCCCTTTCTTTGGCATGCGGGAATTAGCTGTTTTGGTAATTGATGTTGGCGCAGAGACCTTTTAAATCTTAGAACATCTACCACCACCCGTGGAAGAAATGCCGTAAGTTCATCCTAAATTTTGCATTCAGACGAAATGCTCTAGTGCAAACCTGATCGCCACCATGCTTCATTGTTTTTCAGTTTGAGTTCCCAACAATATGCTTTGATCTTTCTGAGAATATGAAAGATTATTGGTCGTTGATTTCCTTATAGGATAACATTTTGTTCGTAAAAAATCAGACAAATCTAGAATGGACTTACTGCGTGTCTGCCGTGGACCGGGACGGCAGCCGCAGCCCACGACTTAGAACTCAATCCTTGAACCCTCAATTTTCAAGGTCAGCATAAATGGAAGTTCAATATTCATATATAATACACATTACTTGCCAAGTGTTTACATTATCTCTCCATGTGTTTTCTTCACCGCCCTACACATTTTTTCCTGTACCTGAATTCTATTTATTTTAGTAACGTGGCCTTTCTTTCATGCAATCAAATGGCTATCATTTCCCTCCGAGGTAGTGATTTACCTCTGTGCACGGAGAGTTTGAAAATGGAGGGAAAATGAATTTTTTCTATGGTTCAAAATCGGTGGTGACGTCCCTCCGTTGGAAGGTGTAATTGACGCTTCACAGATAGGAAGTGTTTTACAAATTCAAACAGCGAGGGAACCTTGTAATTCTGAAAAATTTTTAGAATATAATATTTTAACCCAAATTTTAACGATATTTTTCTGTTTATGAGAAAACAAGAAAAAAAAAGAAAAAAAGGAATAGAAGTTGCTATGACGACGAAGTAATTTTTCAATATACATTCCTCCTCAATCACCCGCGGCAGGTTAGTGCTGTGAGAAGTGAGGACAGTCAGATTTAAGCGACATTTTCGTGACTGACACGATATATCCTCCTGCGGAATTAAGGAAAAAGCATTGTGCTGCTCAGCGATGTGCTACTCAATACTGTTTTTGTTGGGGGTTAACTTTCCTCAAGCTGCTGCTGATATTATGAGAGCAGCTTTTGGAGATGATTATGATTATCTTAGTCCCACATGATGCCAGTCGAAAATGTCGTGTGGATGCTTATAGATCGTCCAGAAGTGTGGGCGATTGAAGGGGAAGAAGAAGAAGAAGAAGAAAAGTAGTAGTAGTAGTAGTAGAAGAAGAAGAAGAAGAAGAAGAAGAAGAAGAAGAAGAAGAAAAAGAAAAGAAGTGGAAGAAAAACAATGAGAAGGAGAGGAGGAAGAGTTAAACATCTTTGGTGGACACATAATTATTTATGCAATATTTTCCCATCAGAGTGCGCTTCATGCTCTTAAGAATAACTATGTTTTTTCGCACAATTTTTAGAATGTTCCCGAAGGCACTGTATGGTATAGTCCTTGCTGTCGGTGTTTATTTGATTTACCCTAACGCACTGAGAATCTTCTCTTCGGAAGTTGTTGTCGGTCCTCTTCCGGAGGATGTGTACTGGGGAGCTCCCAAACCGGAATCGGCGAAAGAGGATGAGATCCGTCCGTTCAAAATCACCACTTTACCATCGGTGAGTATAAACTTAATTTTTAATTTTTAATGTCGAAACCCCCGACTTGGAAGAATACTGTCTCCGAAAATTCTCATGGTTGAAAAAAAGTATCATGGGACAATTTTTCTCGAACTGGGCATATGCAATACCAAGTTTCATTCGAGTCTTTTGAAAGAAAAAAAATTCGAAAAATTTGCCGTTGGCGCCCGCAAACAACGGAAAGAAATACTACGTGTCTTCGTAATATACGGAAAAGCTGTTAAAAATTTCCTCACAAGAATATAGACCATTTGGAGCTTAAAGGGTAAAGGAAGTCTTCTTTAAAAAAAAAATAAAAATTGAAATTGCATAATTTCTAGGTGTTTAAGGGCGCCTAGAAAAAACAAATACATATTTTAAAAATGTCTGTCCGTTTTTTCGGCATCCCGGAAAATGTGTGCATGTCAGAATCTCAAAAACTATTTGTTCAATTTTATTCAAAATGAGCATAGAGGACCATTATTTTTAATACTTGAAGGATTTATTTATGGCGTCGTATCCAACGTCATGACCAAACAGCTTTTCTGGTATGGTCATGTCAACAGGATGACGGAAGAAAGGCTGCCGAAGATGAAGCTTGATTGAGTTCCTCCTGGGAGGAGACGAAGGGGGTTTTGGAGGAAAGAAGGGAGTGCGAACTTCCTGGTGGGCTTTGGGAGGATAGTGGACTTTGGCGGCCAGGTGTCGCAGAGCGCCAAAGAGCGCTGTGAAAGCGGTTTTATATACGTAAGATTTATTTTTGTTGGACTCTTCAAAAAAAGACAACGAACGCTTTGTCGATCACTCCAAACTGCGTTTTTGGCATCCTTATTCATTGTGAAGGTTCGGCAAAACTATAGCTTTGTCGAAACAATCTCGCTTTCCTCCACTGAAATTTAGTCAAGTTCATAACTTACGGTGAGAAAGAAAGAGAAGAGAGTAGAAATCCTCTGGTAGGCTATGGTGACAAGCCCGTGGCAGCGACTCATAAATGAAGAGGTAAAATAATATGAACCGTGCCTATGTTGTAGAAGACGCACTAGACAGAAACGCCAAGAGTACAATAGAGCTCTTAAAGTTCAAAAATCTTTTAACACCTTTCAGAGCAAATGCCATCACCATGCATATTTTAAAATTTCGCAGTGCAGTAGAAAAAGTTTTAATTCCTAATCTTTTCGGAGAATCTATTGGATGTCATTTTATTGCAAGCTTAAACTTCTCCGAAAATATTTCCGCGTGATGTCTGATTTCAAATCGAGTGGGAATAATTTGCCACACCCGAAGCCGGATTAAGGGTGGCGTATGAGGAGCGGCTGCGCTAGGCCTCATCACAACAAAGGGCGCTAATATGAGAGGAGAGAAAGAAAATGAGAGAAAAGAAGAGAGCAGAAATAGAAAGAGGGGGAAAAGAAGAAAATGAAAATGGCGGAGGACAAAATAGAAAGAGAGAGTTTATTTGGGAGGATGCCAAAGCGGTACTTTTCATTATTTCAGAGTTTATTGTATGAAAGAGGAAATCAGGGATAAGTTAGAAAATGAGAGGATTTTATTTTTGAATAAGTACAAAAATTGCGAAAAACATAGCCGAAAGATTCTGATGACATAGAATGTTTATATAGTTGAGAACCGGTTGAGCTGTCCCAACCTCGACCAAATTATTTGCAATTTATTTTGCTTGGATCATTGATAATGATCCGCTGAACTTTCAAAATGAAGACAATAAATTTACCTTGGTAAAAATTGGCGATAAGAGCTGCGTTTCAAAATACCATAGGAATTCTTATAGCCGGCTAAGGCAGGTTACGGAAAATCATATAGCTGGCTGTAGAATGCGGAGAAAATCATACGACCGGGGTATACAAAGCGATGAAAAATTATGGAGCCAGGCTATAGTTCCTATCGCCGGGCTTTACACTTTATCGCCTAGCTGTTGCTTTTTCGCCCTCGGTTATAAAAGGCTACAAGAAATTGTGTAGAAATTCGTGAGCTTTGGAAATCATCAAGTTTGATACGGAACCACCTTAATATTTACAAAACACACATTATATTTTCCTTTAATACATATTTTTTTTCTCATCAATTAAAATGAGAATAACCCACAGGATGTGCAAACATTTCAAAATCATGAGTTGAATGACGCTGACTCTGCCAGATTAAATATTAGAGCCTAACACAAAGCGGAGCGGCGACGCACTGGCGCCTACAAACCTAATAGGGATACTCCACGCATTGCGCAACGCGTGAAGTATCCCTGTTAGGTTTGTAGGCGCCAATGCGCGTTTCGCGCTGGCTGCCCGCCTGCCGCGCCGCAGCGTGCTACTGCGCTTGAGGCAACTATTTCACACCAGAGGTATTGCACAGTATCAAAACAAACTAAAGGCGCTCTAATATATTACGGATGGCAGGCAACCATCAAAAGTACGGAGCTTTCCTCGCAAAATAAATCAAGATACTATGGCCCAAAAATAGAGCAGTAGTCCAAAAACTCACTAAGTCCTAGCATCCGTAATTAGTAACGTTTAGCATACACTTTATCGCCTGACTGTTGCTTAATCTCCATCGGCTATAAAAGGCTATAAGAAATTGTGTAGCCGGCTATAGAAGCTATTGAAAATCTTACAGCCGGCTGTAGGTCTATGGTATTTTGGAACACAGATTCTACTGCCATTTTTTACCAGGATAAAGAGGCTCTGAAATTGGATCTATTTATGCTAAAAGAAACTAACTTGCACACAAATACTATGCACATAGTTCCTATTAGCATAAGTATGTCCAATAGTAATCGCATCTCACGTTAATTATTATTTAATGATCACTTATTTTCAAGTATTGGATATTATGAGGATTCTCAGGAAGGGCTCTCCTGAGAATCCTCATAATATCCAATACTTGAAAATAAGTGATCATTAAATAAACCTCTTTATTCAAATCTTTGATTGAATAGGAAATGAAATCATTTAAATTCTCCAGCAAGATCTGTATCACAAATACAACTAAAAGCCGGAGAGAANGGGGGGGGGGGGGGGGGGGGGGGGGGTTAAGGCTGCGTCCCGTGCCACTTGATGATTTTTTTACAGTTTTTAGTGAAAATTGAGTTTAATTTTTTGTATGTGAGCTATGTGAACTAGAACAGGAGAAAGTTTTACTATTTATTTGTTTTCAACTATCAGGTTTTGGAGCATCTGAAGAAACGACTAAAAGAGACGAAATTTCCTCATGCACCTCTGAAAGGAGTCAATTTTGAGTATGGATTTAACTTAGATCACCTCAAAGAAATTAGATCTTACTGGCTGAATAAATACGACTGGAACAATCGCCTCAAATTTTTGAACAGTTTTCCTCATTTTAAAACAATAGTCTCAGGTGTATTCACTTAGTATTTGATTAACTTTTTATTTCATCAGTTTCATTGAATATTATGCTTCATTTTTACTTTTTCGAGGAAAATGGGGTACTCGGATTTTATTATTGACTTTATTTTATTCAAACAAAATTTTTGATGACTTTTTGATCATGCATAAATCAGACTAAAGTGGCTGTAAGTTCACCGAGAAAAAGACGGTGTTATTAATACCAGAGACATCGCTTCACAGAACGCATGAAAGTGAAGGTTAAATTGCTGAGGTCGCTTTCCCGAGAAAGCACGAAGAGTTCATTGCTCACAATACTTAAATCCCTTCTCGGCTGAAATAATTATTATGAGGTATTTTATACATTTTAAATACGCATGAACATATAGATTATGATCGGGTAAGGAAATCCCAGAAAATAATTGTTATTGCACTGAGTTGTCTAACGTGCAGAATTTTATAACAATCACCTAAAGGATCCAGCGAATAGTCAAAAAACCGAATGACTCACTGAATAAAAACTCAAGTTCTAAACGCGCCGTAGTTACGGGCTGTGGACGTGTCATCTGTTCCGGGTCTATAGAGGCCGAAAGTTTCAACTTCAGAAGTCGTTACTCTCGCTGTTCTGGATTTGACTTTTGGCCTCTGAAGCCGCATGTTTTGGCCTCTTAAGCCGCAACTTTTGGCCTCTGCACCCAGAACGGATCGTATGTCTATACTCAATAGAGCCCGGAGATTGTTTCAGTGCACAAACTTCGTAATCTCTAAGTACCTATACTTAATTTCAATGTGCAGAAAACAATTCGTCTTAAAGTTTGAAAAAGCATTATCTGTAATTTGATATTACATGGAGGCAAGTATCATAAGTACCATTCATCGCTTCTTTATGATATTCAACGACTTTTTTTTTTTAAATAAATTAGATACCAAATCATAAAAAGCGTTTCTTGTATTAAAATTTTGGACAAGTAATTACGTTGGTATTCTTTTTTTTTTTTTTTTTTTTTTTTTTAAATTTAAGGTTTAGACATTCACTTTATGCACGTTAAACCTTCCGTAACCTCACAAAAATCGCTTAAAGTCATCCCAATTCTACTGCTGCATAGTTGGCCTGGATCAATCAGAGAGTTCTACGAACTTATTCCGCAGCTAGTCACTCCGAGAAAAGATTTCGATTTCATCTTTGAAGTTGTCGCCCCGTCTCTGCCCGGATTTGGATATTCTGAGGCAGCCGTTATCCCAGGTTTGTCGACTGCTCCGATGGGCGTCATTTTCAAGAAACTGATGCAGAAGTTGGGCCATGAAAAATTCTATGTTCATGGCGGGAACTGGGGATTCAAGATAGGTCGAGATATGTCCATTTCTTACCCCGAAAAGTAAGTTTGTGAACACAGAATATTGTTAATCGAATTTGATGCCAATGCAAATCTTCATGCATGGTTCTCATGTATCATATCAGGAGAGGACATTATCAATACTGAGAGAAAAACGTCAATCATGATTGCTGTTATTGCAGTAAGGCGTCCTTTACCAGATGAAAAAAACTAACTACATTTTGACGTTGCAAAATTTCTACTGACGAATCGTATTTTTTATGAAAAATGGTTGGGAATTGCCAACTCGTAATTACTCTGACTTTTCTTTGACACGCAAAAATAAACAGTAAGTAGTTTGAACAGGAATCGCACGGTCCTATTTTTGTGAAAATTTATTGTTTGAGTCAATTTTGCAACTTTGGGACGGAGTTATATTCCTTTGTTATTGCTACTTTTGCATCGAGTTAAATTTTCTTAGATGAAATAAAGATGACTAAGTTCCAGTATCTTAGGATATCGTAACCTTACGGCCAAAGTATCATAAGCACTACGCGACGTTTCCAAATTTCCGCCGCCCTTTTATTTTTTTACAGAGAAATTTTTGGTTGAATTTGACCGAAAAGTTCACGAAATTCTCTTTGTGCTGCCGATAAAATTCAGTGAACTTTTCAAACAGATTCTATCAACAATTTCTCCGTAAATAAATAAAATGGCGGCAAAAATTTTGAAACGTCCCATGGCGCTTGTGATACTTGGGCCGGATACAAAATCATGCAAGTCTCAAGATACAATATGGCTGAATCTTGATGCACCTTTTTAGGCTTGTCCAGTTTTTAAATGCATTTATTTTATTTTTATTTTTTTCAGTGACCTAGGGCTGCACGCTACGATGTGTACGGACTTCGACCTGACCCCAAGAAACCTGGTGTGGACCTGGGCACGGATATTCCTCGGCGGCATCTATCCACCATTAATCGAGGATCCGAAAGAAGATCATGATCGACTGTATCCTCTGCGAGACTTCTTTACCTGGTTGTGGACGGAAACTGGTTATGCGCATTTACACGCGACAAAACCAGACACCATCGGTAATGAAAGTTTTCTTAATAATTATGAGAATACTGATTTACTATTAGAGACTTTTGTTGTTTAAGTAGAAATTCTTTCGTTTCAAATTAATTTCTCTACGCATTTTAGGCCAACGAAGGTAAAATTTTTGACAAAGAGGGGAATACTGTTCGTTAATATAGAATAGAGACATCTCTCACGCTAAAATTAACGGCACTATTCGTAGTAATAATATATTATGCAAAAATGAACACGGGTGCCGGTGCATTATTACAATGACCATGGGGTTGAAATATCCTTATAGTTTTAATTGGAGGGACATATTTGGAATTGAGGATTCCCTTCCATTCTATGGAACGCAAAGAATTGACCAAAAATATGTCTATGCATTTGAAAGAAAGCGGCACAAATGGAATAAACCCAAATATTTGACTGAGGGGGAAAAACTCAATGACTCACAAAACTTATAATAAAACGTGTGCTTTGCAACACCCAAGTAAGTTTACCCCGCAATACCCCCCAATACTTTTAGTAAGTTTATGAAATTGAAATTTTAGGGGCTGCTTTGCTTGACTCTCCAACGGGTTTGGCTGCATATATCCTTGGCAAATTCGCTACTCTGACGAACCCTGCCAATATTAACTTACCAGACGGAGGCCTCACAAAGAAATTCTCCCTTGATGCTCGGCTGGACAATGTCATGATATACTGGACGACAGATTCCATTTTGACCTCAATACGGTTGTACAGTGAATACTGTTCTACAAAGTACAAGGATCTCAATTTTGAAATGTAAGCCTTTCCAATGATTTTATTTTCAATTTTATTCTTTTCTACAATAGAGCACTCTATAATTTTTTTTACATAAATACGAAGACCCCAAAAGAGGAGGGGGTCGACTTACAAGTGAAATACTTGTTTCGAACAACTCCAAAACAAGAGGGGGAAAATCCTAAAAGTAGAAAAAAAATTTACCTGAGACTTTTTGTTATTCAGTTTTCCAAGAGAGTCGCGTAGCTATAAAATAGAACCTTTTGTTCTATTAATGGTGGAATACACACGCTCTTGAACCTCGGAACGGAACACTTTTCGATAGAAATGAATTTCACCGATATCTTTTCAATGAAGAATGGAAATAAATAAAAGATGCGTGTGACCCTGACCCCCGTTTTTCCGCAATTAAATGAGATTCTTATTTTTTCCAAGTTGGGCGGTTTTCGAAGAAAATCCTCATTGAAAATACCAAAACTGAACTGAACTTGGCATGCCTTCAGTGATCGTTCGATTCTTCAAAAAGCTGATCAGAATTTAGCGGTTTCCTCCGCTAGATTACACGTCGAGTGAGTGTCGATTCCAAGCCCCGTGTAAGTCCAACTAATAGTCGCGAAGCTGTGTATTTTACCCCCCGAAAGCCCAGTGGATTACAAGGTCCTTGAGTATATTCAATAATCGGTCATTCCTAAAAAAGCGTATGGTTTCTAAATTACTCTAAGTGATGCCCATCTGATAAGTCGTGATTGTGATGTGCCTATCCACCAAACCAATTCTCCATCTTACTTTAAAGTTCGCCAAATCTTTGTCTGAAACTCCGTCCGCCGTTTCGTCACCACGTTCACAATATATTTGATTAACACCAAAAATGTCAAATTTACTGTGTGCTTCCCTGTTTGCTTGTCACACTTGCAAATTTCACTTCCTAGAGAGTGAGGATATATTTTTTGAAAGGAAAGACACGAATTAGATAAGGATCTGGAAGCGAGTGTGAAATGCAAATTAAGAATTTAAGATGGATTTGCATTATTGGAAGTGGCTTCGCTACACATCGCCAAAAGGCATTCCCCGCGCATTGAGGACGTCTGTCTGGCGTCTAGTCCTAGGTTACTCATATCTAGAGCAAACTTCCTACTTTGCATAAATGGCATTGCTATAGGCCTCAACAGAATTCAATTTTTTTTTGTGACTCTTAGATGATATTCAAAATATTGTCCACGATAGAGATACGATCGATCTTCATTTCCGAGTGGGTGTTCTCACACAGATTGAAAAAAAAGTCTGGTGCTCATAGAGTTCTAGACGTTTGACTAGGCTTCGGTTCGTGTAGGCGGAGAAGGAATTCAAATGAGGAGCTCGGAGGACAAGGCGCATAAGTGCAGTTTTTGCTATCTCAAGAAATAGGTGCTGGAAGTTTCGAAATTATATAGATCCTTATGGCGGAAAGAAAGTTCAAAGTGACTCTTTGATGCTTGAAAATTGGAATTTGGGATAATAGCATTTGGGACAGAATGTGCATTAAAACTAGTTTTACTTGGAATTATTAATATCTTAATTTTTTCAAAAACTGCTTTTATGCGCCTTGCCCTCCTAGTCCTTCAAATGTCATCACCTAAACAAAGGTTAGACGGCTAAAAATTTACGTGGTTTAATACTTTGCATTTTTTTTTTTTTTTTTTTTCGACGAGATTTATCTGAAATGATCTGGTCGATCAATAAAATTTTGGAGTAAACAACCGGACCGTTAGATCACTTCAAAATATCTCAGGATGAAGAAAATGTCCCGCTGACTTAATGTACTCACGTTTTGTGCTTTACCAAGAATCGGTTGTGACATTTGAGTCGCTACCGCAGAGGTTTACGATGAGTTTTTCCAAAGGCGGGGCGTGAAAAATCGATTATCGATATTTCTCCATTTGAAGCTGTAGGAAAGAATCGATTGTCAAAGTGTTCGTTGCGAACACCTTGATAATCGATCCTCTTCCATGGATTTAAATGGCAGATCAATCGATGTATCGGAATGCACGCCACGCTACTGAGTTTTTCATCACGCTTTCTTAAAAATAAGGTAAAGCTATGACAGGCAGAAGCGGAGCCAGCAATTTGGCAACGCCGGATTTCCTCAATTTAAACCTATATTAAATATCGGACCTTGTCGGAGCACCTGGCCCCTCCAAGAATCAAAGCATTTCCATAGGTTTAAATGGAGAAAAACAATGTTGCCAATTTCCTGGATCCGCCAATGATCTCCTGTTCGTTACCTATCCGCAATCGTGATCCGTGCTATTCAGTAATACATCTTTTACAGGCATATTTCGGGGCTGTGAGATTGGGATGTAGAAAATGTTGTGAGAAAAATGTTAAATTTACTCCCGTAAATATAGTATAAAATTGAGAAACCAAATTATAATTCCCCGCCGTACAATTTCTTTCTAGAATTAACGCTCAATTTTACTCTCTTCTTTTTTCAGAGCTCCAGTAAAAGCGCCCACAGCCTGTGCCCGGTTCCGCCATGAGTTGTTTTACTCTCCCGCTTTCAGTCTGAGGGAAAAATTTAAGAATCTCGTCAGAATTTCGAAAATCAATGATGGAGGGCTCTATCCTACTTTTGAACTGCCGGACGTTGTTGCGAACGATATATGGTCATCCATTCCACTCTTCGCACGGGCGAACAAAAACGTAACAGATAGTTTAAAAAAATGAAAATTTAATTCTTGTTTATTTTTTTTAAATAAAGTGTATAATATTAGTGTTGACTTAATCGTTGCTCTGAATATTGAACTTTGAACTGGTGCAGGGATTTATGTTTAATCTCCGGTGAAAAGGATAACTTGACCGTCACTGAAACATAATGAAATTGCATTTTGCAAAAAAGAACCAACGATATTCAAATGTTGCTAGGATTGTACAACTTTACATTTTTTTGCAATGAAAGTACCAAAATCATGGGAAAAATTTAATTTACAAAGTGAATTTTCGTCTTGAATTTATAGTTTATTGGGAGTAAAGATAAACTTTGTTCAGATGATCAGTTTATATTCGTGAGGTAAAAAAAGTTACACAATCTTATCGATATTGTAATATTCTTGGTTCTTTATGGAGTCACTACTTCTAGCTCATCCATATAAAAATACTTATCTGCATGGAGGAACTTATGGCACCCATGTTGCTCGCGGAACATCAGAAATAGCGATTTCTTAATTTTAAAACGTTGTCGAATTGATAGTTACAAATATTGACCGTTTTTCGGTGATGGTCAATTTATACTTTTTATGAGGGTTCGAGAAATATGCGAACAAAGAGCGATGAAAAGTGACTGGTATACGACTGGTGTTACAATGCGTTTAAGATTTTTGGCCTCTATTTTACATTCCTATCGTGGAACGAACGAATCTTATTATCCAAAAAACAATCTTAGATTATAATCTGAATAATTAATAATTGCACACATGAGATAAAGTGCGGAAGTATTCAAAATATGATGTCTAATTTACTTTCTCATTTCAAAAATAAAAATGACAGGAAGTTCGCAAGCTGAGCTAACTGTTCCTCTACTCGTAGTTTCTAAAGCAATATGCAATTCGCTTGGAAAGTGTGTGATGCAATCGCAAGCAGAGGAAGTTGTACTTGTTTGGCGCACAAGAAGTTCCTTCAAAATGGTGAGTATGCAATACAGCATGACAGCCATATTCAAATAGGAAGTTTTCGCCCGGTAGCCCAGAGCCCACTAGAACCCGGAGGAATAAACTCCAACCAGTGCGCCGCGCCGACGGTATCTTCCGATCTTCTAATGGTATCAAAATGTCAATACCGAGGGCTCTTTTCCTGTCGAGGTTAAATTAAAAAAAAAAAAAAAAAAAAAAAAAAAACTTTTTAGAAAGAACCTATTTACCTCAGGGCTGTATTTGGCTTTAGATTTGATCTATGGAGACGAGATTTGGGATAACTCTCTGCTGAAGCCCTGCTTAGAAAAATTAACTTGATTTAGACAGAAATATACGTGAATTCGCAATCTAGAATGATATGAATTTCTCTTGAATCAAGAGGAGAAACTGCTTATATCTAGAATTCCGCTTGTATCAAACAAAATAAAAAATTGTAAATTGTATCAAATCCTAGGTCTATAGATAAATCAGCAGGTGTTAATTACAGAACTATAACCTATCATTTTTTGGATGATACTGTTACTTAACCCTTTTGGACTTCCAAAATCTGCTGAACTAACTGTAGCGAAGAAAAATCTTGAGATAGAAAATAAATAGTACAACCTGCCTGAAACCATTTTTTGGAACCAACCAGCGATTTTATCATTAATTCAATTGACGCCTTTCTTGATTTAAGAAAAAACCTCCTTGACAGCAAAAAGTCATTTTTTTTCCAGCCTGAATTTGAGGGATATAAGCGTTTAATCGCCGAGATTATGACCGTGGGTAAATGGAGCTTTCCCTTTGACTTTTTACAGAGGTCCATCTGTATAAACGGTAAATGAATGGTTCACTTTTAGGAGGACGGACCTATTTTCTGGAGGATAAAAAACACGTAAATATCTTTCAGAGTTCAATGAAATCTAGAGTGTATTTTTTGTGACTACTCTTTCCCGCGACCGTCGCTGTCGAACGTCAAACGCCTTTTGGCGCTTCTGACGCTTCCAATCATATAGACGTTCCAATATCTAACCTATGTTACCAGTCCTGAACTGTCGCCCTTACGTCTTTCTTCATGATACCAAGTGTAGATAGTTCCGTGCTTCTGTATAACGTTCAATTTATATGTTTTTTCTTCTCTCTTTTTGTTTGCTTTCAGTAAATGAGCGCATCGTCGATAAAATCTTGTGCAATTTCACGATGCTTATAATTAGTTTGATGATACGTTAAAAACCTTTTAAAAAATTGTTGGAAGTCTGTGAAATTGAATCTTTTTTCTTCAAATGAAAAAAATTTAAAAATGCACAAAAAATACAAGACACTTGTACTTAATATTTAAGTTGATTTTAATTTATTTTTTACTCTGTTCTTTTTTGCCGTATTTTAGGTTTCGTTTCATTTCACTTGTTTGTGAATGCTATACCGTCGTCTTCCGCTATTAAGATTTCCAAACACGACTGTTTCTTTTTCTTTTCTTCTTTTTGGCTTCGATCAAACTTTCATGCGAAAACAGTTTAAACTGTATCACGCCATAACTGTTTCATAACATCATTCTCCAAAGTTTTTGTCGTTTAAGAAAAAAGAAGATAACTTCTGTCATGGCACACGATGATTTGCAGTCTATTGAAACTGAAGGATACGAGTAATATAACTGTGGACTTACGATCTTAAAGTTTAAAAGGCAGAGGTATAAAAATGGAGGACGTAGTATGTAATAAAACCATATCTGTATAAATTCGGATATTGATTTCCCTTATTTTCACGGATAACGCTAATTTAGAATTCGCAAACTTTCAAGAACGTCGGTGTAGAGTTTCAGGCTTTTAGCAAATTTTTTCATTGAGATTTAAATAGGTATCAAAATAAAATCAGGGAATGTCATAAACCGCTGTTCCTCAACACAATTTTCTGAAGCTCAATAATGTCCTGAGGATCGTATTCACCCTTTTTCTGAGTGGTACAAAGCTCATATTTGTGTAAGTCCCGAGGAAGCGCATCATTTCACGATGATTCTCCTGTTCCACCACGTAGAATTTCATCTTGCCAATACTAAAAATTTTAGGGAAACTGAAATGGCGGAGTTAAAGTAACCTCATCTGGTTTGGTGGGAAGCTAAATATTTTGAGTGCTCCAAGAGGGCGTCCAATTTCACAACGATATTACTATTCAGCTACTAGAGAGATCGCGTTGCCTATATGTGAATTGAAGGCGAACTGACATGCCGTAAATGTAATCTTTCCCCGTTAGGTAAAAAGCCAGTTTTCGCACGTGTACCAAGTAAGCATATTTCACGACGATACCATCATTTCACTTCTCTCTGCTCCTTTGCTTCCTTTTACTCCTTTTTCTTTCTCATTTCTGCTTCATCCCCGTCTTCTTTCCCTTTATTCTTCTTCCTTTCTTCTTTCTCTTTCCTTCTTCTTCCTTTCTTCTTTCTCTTTCCTTCTTCTTCGTCCTCTTCTTCTCTTTCTTTTCTTCTTTCGCTTAATTTTTTTTCTTCCTCTTTCCCTTTTTCTTTTTCATCTTCATTCTTCTCTCTACTTCCCCTCCCTCTCTGTTTCTTCTCCTTTCTTTTTTCATTTTCTTCTCCTCTGACGGGAAATTTAAAAAAAAAAAAAAAAAAAAAAAAAAAAAAAAACAGATAAGTATTGTAGAAATTAACGTAAAGGAAGCACACGCGTTAGTGGCCGTTAATTGGTAAACTATGAAAGCGACTGAGCCTAAATTCGAACTCAACGTTCATATATGACCGAAAGACACACTATTAAAAAAATTTTAATAATAGACTGACGTAATTCTAACAATAGTTATCGTGTTTACAACGAATAGAGAATTTGCAGGTGCCTGAAATTCGATGAAATTCGTGTTTAAGTGGAAATTACTGAGTGAACTGAACACGAGGATACCCTTGGTTCATGAGTTGAACAATTTGGAGATGATATGACTTATCTAATCTGCTAAAATACACGTGTTTGAATGGACAATGCCGCCAGATGACGTCACTTGGCGGTGCATTTTCTCACTTTTAAAGCTATTTTTATACTATTTCTCAAATCAAAAAAAAAAATTATAAAAAATACTGTGAAATCAGCTCTTTAAGCACTTTCAGATGAAGCAATAAAAAATGGCATGCAAAGTTTCCATTCGCCTATAGAGACCCTCTGACGATTATATGGGGGATTTATTCATACGAGTCTAAGCGGGAACTTTTTTGGACCCGGAAACGGACAATTCCTGGGAAACTTCAAAAGCGAAACACACACATGCACACATCTCATTTCCCAAAGAATGAACTCTTTTAGAGAAACATTTCGATTTTCCGAGAAATTTTGAGTAGACAGTGCACAATGAAAGTCACTATCAACGATTTTTAACCTTTGCCAACTATATGTTACTCTTGTTTTTTTTTATTTCATTTTAATTGTTTTAAAACAAAAATTTATCAATTTCCTAGGGAGGAAATAAAGTACAGGCCAGAACCGTGCTTTGTCGCAAAATGGAAGTCGTAACGCCTGAATACAGAAACGACTACGAAAGTTCCTTCTAAACGACAGGTAGGCATCCTTTTCGCTTAAGTTAAATGTGTTGCATACACTAAAATTTGAAGGAGTTTTATCGGCCGATATCTTGAGCGCATGTTTCAAGGTCCGTTTAAGTTGTGCTTTGTTGATCACCCCCCTTCCCTGTTTTCTATGTTATGTACATTGAAAATGAAGGTTTAATTATCTGTAATAACATCCATTTCTTGCAACCCTGCCTTGTTATCCTTTGAAATTATTGTTACATACGTTTCATTTGTTATCTCATTTAGTTGTTTTACTGCATTCATATCGGTTTAACGAGTTCCTTTGAAGCGGAAAAAGCAGTTGGCTAATTTTAGATGTTGATATAAGGCTCATTATTATGTAGCGAATCTAGTTAGTATCGTCTCACTCTAGTTTTATGTAATATGGAATGGAAGAAACGATAAATTAATGCAAGCGGCATTTTGTTTGGGCTCAACAGACAGATAGCAATACATCCAATATGCAATTCCTCAATTCAGATGCGTTGATAATAATTACTCCGTTATAAATTGCATGAATGGGAAAAGTATACATAAAGTACCACTA